ATGCTTAATTATAAAACTTACTTTATCCATGCTCCAAGTGGTTTCTTCCAAAATTCCTCCTCTCTATTCTTTTCTTTTTCCTCCTCAACATTACATAACTGAAGCATACCGTATGTTTACCTGAACATGGATGAAATTAGCTTACTACAAACTGCATAAGATAACATTTGATGATAATATTTGATCTGCGCAAATGTCAAAAATATCTTGATAAATTCATAATGAGATAATGGTAAAGGATTTTGAATTCATTCTGTAATTGAGAAATTTCGTAATAAAACTGATTTGCAAAAAAAAGAATGGAGGGGATGCAAATATTGTCGGGAAATCTGAAATTTTATGATATAAAATTGTGATATAAAGTATGAATTGACATTTTGTATTACTGAAAGTTAGACTAAGGAAGTTGCGCTTCACAATTTTTCTTTGTTAAATTTAATTTCTCATCATATGACCTCTTCGTGTTACTATAATGTCACTGAGAGTTATTGCCTTATAAGGTCTTTGTCCTTTTTATGTGCAAATTACAAATGTAGCTAACGAATAATCATACAATCCTCTTTATTCCTATCGCTTTTTCCCTCCCAACATGACCCCTGAGGTTATCCATTAAGCCCAATACTGAGTAGATAAACTGTCAAACATACGGACCAGAACTCAATTGTTCATTTCATCATCCGTACGTGTTTATTCTTCCCTACTCGTAACTGTCATCAAATCTTCTGCTGCTCATTCCATCCATGAATACGAGAATTGCTCCGACAAAATTTCTAACTATAAAATAAATCTTAGCAAATAATTTGTCTATGAATCAACAACAAACAAATCTACAACACTTTCACAACAAATATTATATTCTATAATATTAGAAGAAATGATAATTAATTACATTTGCAAATTAAATTTAATAAAATTTAATATTTGTGATTTCAAAAAAAAAACGACTCAAACATTGAAATCAAATAGAATTGGCGTGCGGAATGCATTGTTTATAATGTTTTGTGATAAATTGCAAAAGATATCAAATAGGTGTGCTTGCTTTTTGAACTTTGATCAAGTGTAGAAAGAGGGCAGATGAAGAGGTCAATGTGGGAGGAAAGGGGAAAGTCGAAAATACTAACAGGTCAACGTAGGATATATGAGTGGAAAAAACACAGTGCTAATTGAACTTACTGCTTAAACTATCAATAATTTACACCACTTAATCTCAACAATATCTATTAGTGATTTAAAATTTTATTTGAACCTTTCAAGAGTCTGGTAGTTTAATGATTTAAGTTTCTCAGTATTAAAATATAACAAAAAATAATTTTAAAGTCAATAAATGAAATGATGTTTTCTGATTCAAACAAAGCATATAGGAACGGATTTTCGTAACCGATATTGTACAGCGAACGTTTCTGTTCTCCATAGTGACCGATCAATGAATCGCTGATAGATTGTTGGCCTTTTAAATGTGGTTGCTAAGGAGCTATGCCTTGAAAAGCACAAATGAGTGATGCTAATATTAGGCTTGAAATCTGGAAAGAATAATGATCAAATTTAGAGAGAAAGAGAAAGAAAGAGACAGAGGGAGAGATTATCTGGAATCAGCTTTTGAAATGACTTAATTAATGAAATAAAATTTCAAACAGTAATCATTCTGCAAAAAAATCATCTGTGTACATTCTTTGATGAATTCAAAATTTCTTCTCTAAACATTAACAATAAAAAGTTATGCTACGCTTTCTCATCTTAAGAAATATAACAATAAATTAATATTAAATTTCTCTGTCCTACTTTATCATTTTAAGGGAAATTATATTCAATGCATAGTTAATGTAAAAATTAATTTCGATTTTCCATTAAATTTATTAGAGTTTGGTACAATTAAAAATTTTCGTTTTTCAAGTGATTAAAGACGCCTAAAAAAAACAAATTAAAAAGTAAAAAAGATTTCGAAATGCTTTCCTTACTAATAAAATATTTCAAAGGACGATTTCTTTTTTTGAGGACGAAAAAATTTTGATCCATCTGAGAATGGTTCATAGTCATTTGGTGGTTCTTTGCGCACAATTATTATTTGTCAAAAAGAAAAGGATAGATGGATGGATGGATGGATGGATGGATATGCTCATTGCCATCTACGTGAGAAATAATCAGTTCATAGTGAATTTATTTTTTTTAACTCCAAAGATTACTGTTTGCAAAATGCATCAATAAATTGCCAACGGTGGGTAATTACTTCCACAAAATATAATAATTAGTGATCGGAATAGGAAGTTTATTCTGTCTATAACAAATGCTATAACTGTAAGTTGTTTGCTGATGACAACCAATCGTGAAATATTAATCAAATTTGACCTGTAAGATTTTCAGCGTTGATCAAAGTTGACCTATGAGATCTTTAATGATTAGTTTTAAAAAAATTTACTATATTTTTTTTACTGTATTTTTTTTACTATATTTTTTTACTATATTTTTCTTTAATGATTAGTTTTAAAAAAAATTTACTACATTTTTTTACTATATGTTAAAAAATTCACTATATTTTTCATTAAATTTAGTTAGATTGAAAGGTTTTATAAAAATTAACTCACTGATGTGAAAAGTTCACTCAGACATTTTATCATACTGAAATGCTATTTCATTATTAATTGAAGAAAAACAAAAATCCCAAATCTCTAGCATATCAAATGTTGCACTCTTGTGTGTTTGTTGCAGTAATATCATTATTGTATATTCATTATCATGATTATTACTTCTATCTTTATATTGTCAATTCAAAGAACTTATTTATTATTATAACTCATTTATTATTGCTATACTTACTCATTTATTTTTACTTACAATATAAATTTATTTTTACTTACAATAGTTACTTACAATAGAAACCAATATTACAAATTAATTAGAAATAGCCAATAGTTTCTTTCAAGGTTCTAATAAAATTCATTCATTTGACATTCCATCTATGAATCTTTTAATGTTGATTTTATTTGCTTACTTAAAATTTTTCTCTTTTCAAATTTCTTCAGTTTTTTCAGATAACATTTTTTCGAAGCATTGATGCTAATCTTTTTCATTCATGCCGATTAAAAGATAAAAGTAGCAGTGGTAAGGTTAAAGTAATAGCAAACAGAAATTATATTCTTCGAGAACAAAATTGTAATAAATGATAGTCTTTCTAGCAAACGTATGCTAATTCTTTCTGGTAAGATAAGTTCATCATAAAGTTACCTAATTATAAAATCATCTCACTTTACTATTCGATTAATTTTGTTTGAAATTTCCGTAAACAAATTAAAGTGCCTCGAGAAGTTTTATCTATCCCCATATATTTCCAAAAATTTCCACCTTTTAAATACAACTGAAATTTCGCAAAATTGAAATTTCAAAAATTATTGATGAAAAATGATGCAAATTTATCAAAATGAATGATACTCGAAATTATGCCAAATGAATATCTTATTATTTCTCCGCTCATAAAGATATTCCATTACGATTACCTAATACAAGTAATATCTTATAACCTAATGAATTCTAATACTGATATGAATGTTTTGTACGAGTAATGATCCTTTTTTTCTCATCTGGCCTTCCACATTTTGCTCAATGATCTTAATTTATTTCTGGACAGGCACAGTTATCAAAAAGTATTCCCTAAATTAAAATGTATTTTAGATTTTACATTCATATCAGTATTAGATTTCATTAGGTTATAAGATATTACCTGTATTTTTTTCTAGATTTTTCAAATCTTATTGTTTGATTCTGAATTTTTTTTTTGAAGAGCATAAAAATTACCAGAAAATTTTTCTGAACCGTATCATATCTATGAGAGAAACAAAAAAGTGTGAAATGTTTTTTCATCATCATTGATCTAATTTATATTGTTGACAATTTAAACAAAGAATTTTATCTCTCATACTAAACTAACCATTAGTATAAATTTGATTACTAATTAAGTCCATATGGCAAGTTCCGTTCTGCATTTTAATTAATTTGCTTTCCCTCTTTTAACACAAAATTTTTTCAGTTCAAATTTTCAATCTATTTCGAGATATCTTCTCTTCATATACTGAGCTTTTTAATTTCAAATGGTTTAAATCTTAATCAACTAAATTCAAATAGATTTATAATCGATAATCAAAAGTAAAACTCTGGAATTTTCATGATTTTACAAAATTTTCCAATCCTGCAAATTGAAGTTTGCCCAATTTTTCAAATATAAAATTAAACGGAATTGTAATTATACAGTCATCACCAACGGTATTTTTTGAAATTTAAAGGTGACAAATTTAAATTATTGGAAGGTTAGGATCAAATCTATGTGATTATATTTCTAGGACTAATTTTGAAAAATACTAGAATTTTAATGAATGATCTCAATTATAATCATGCATGAGTTGGCTAACAACGAAACTGCTTATGGCTTAAATGATCAAGAAAAGATCTTCAGCTCAGTGACAGATAATTTTTTCTTTGCAGTCTTCTTTTTTTCGAATTGTACTACAATCTTCTTACATTGTTATTTCTTTTTTTCTTATAAATTATTTAAGATCTTATAGAATAAAATAAACGGAAAGTTTTAACATTGCCAAGGTTATATTCTTCTCATATGTTGACAGCCTTTTTTATTTGAATCTCACAAATCTTGGAATTAATGGAAGAGAGGGATTTGTAAATCAAGCTTGATTCACATACTGTAAATGGAAACTTCTGAGAATGAAAGAATGAAATAAAAATTAAAGAAAATTAAACGGCTAAACGACCTTGAAATTTTTATTGAAAGGAAGAAAATTAAACATAATGAAGCGAACTTCCGATTTCGTCGCCACAAATCTTCTCCGATTTCGCAAAATTTATACATATTCATTCAATGATTTCTAACTGCACATAATATCTTTGCAAAAAGTTCGAAATAACCACGTTGCATGGGCACTAAAACCGCTTATTCTAATTGTTAATTTCTGATAATCAACATATTTGGTAATTATGATGCGTTGGTATTCACTTTCAGATAAGCAAGTTTGAATTCCTTAACTGTGCTTCTGCACTTCAGTTAACAAATGCGACAGCGCTCTTCAAATCTATCTATTTTATACTGCTAAACCATAAATAAACCTCAAACTGAAAAAGCTTTTTCTTCTTCAAAACTTCAATAAGTAAATACGCACTAAATGAGAACTGCAAACATGAACTGACTAAAAATTAAAGCGAAATTAAATAGGAAAAATAGAAATTGGGAGGAAACTTTCAAAACTGGTTACCAAATAGTATAACCAATAAATTATCACTAACAATAACAATTATTTAATTTTCCATTGAAATTTAGAAACCGAATCTATGTATCAATGGTGATTTAAAAAGCAGTATCGGTTTTTAAATTGATAAAATTATGACCATATACACATAATTTAAATGGCGAATACTACGAAGCAAAACACAAAAACTTTTGAGAAATTCATTCAAGAGCAGTCCAAAATCATGGAATTGTTCTTTTTCATAAATTACCTGGTCGAAAATGAACAATAAACCATATATGATCAACAATCGAATGACCTTGTGAAAAAACCAACAAAATGTCGATATTCAAAAATTCGAAATAATGATAAGCTTCTGTTGTATACCTTCAACAATATGAACTATGTATATTTGTTGCGAAATTGCTGTCATAAAAAATCAAGCTGTTGTGATGGTTGTGACAAAACTGTAAACTTATATTGATATTTCCAAAATGCCATTCATTTCTCGGCACTCTTTTTTTTCAGATCACATGAAGGTAATATCAAGAAATTAGATTTTGTATTAAAAAAAAATATTATTGTTGAACATAATTCGGTTGAATCGTTGTTAAAACAGGAACTGGTTGAACTATCGTTGGTTGTTGTTGTTGCTGTCCAGGATAATAGTATTGAGTTGTGCTAGATATTGGTGGTTGTTGCTGGCCAACTGTAGCTGCTGCTGCTGGTATTGTTCCATATGGTGCTGCTGCTACTGCTGCTACGCCTTCAAATTAATTCAACTTTCGGAAATTCAGTTTTCCACTTCAGTAAAACCATTTAATTAATCATTTCTGTTACTTCTTTCTGTTACAGTATATATATAAGCTGCTGGTATTGGTATGTGCGCATTATCAAAATCTGAGCTTGATTTAATTCTGAAGTATCATGAAAATTGCAAATTACTCCGAGAGTAATGAAGTCTTTCTCACATATTCGACAATTTTGATTTATAAATCATGCACTGGTACATATTTTGAAACAATTGTAAGTTTCAAAAGCAATTATATACCTTCGTGATCCTCTAGAACTCTTCCAGAGATTAAGCTCTTTTTATTTAAACGTTATCACTTACCATTATCTGTGCTAGGCGCAGGTGCATAGTACTGCTGCTGCTGATGAGTTGGATATGCCGTGTAACACGTAGCTGTTCGCATCTTTTTTTCAATTGGATCACTGAAAATGAACGCACATAGTTTTGTTGATGATTTTGTTAATAATATTTAAAAGTTCGAAATTTTATGACATCTGATTTTAATGATCAGATCTTCCCAATGAAAGCAATAATAGCTTACCCAGAACCTCTCACATCAGCTACTCTTTTACTTGGTACAGCAACATTCTCAATACTTTTTTGAAGTTGCGTATGATATTCGAGATGCTTCTGGAGGCTAAAACGAGAAAACGATTTGTTTAAAGTCAATTTTCCGGAATTCTATCCTGTTTATATTTTCTCAGCATCTCTCCATATTTTTTACACAAAGATTTTCTTACCGACAATAAGACCATAAATTTTCAATTATATTAATGTTTATAGACAAAAAAATGGAACCCATTAGACAAAACTAACGGATAATCTTCGTTCATTAAGTTACTCTATTAACGAAGTAGAAACTATATTGAGAATAGGGTGAACTCAGATGCAAAATTATACTAGGGCAATCAAAAAAAGGGTAAGAATGTTGAAATCACAAAAAAAAATTATGAAAATAAAAAAAGACTAAAAATAAGTGAATCTGGAACAACCAAAGAGAAAATTAAAAATGATAAAATTATAGAAGAATAAGTCTTTACAAAAATTACTTGAAGAAAACATATTTAAAAATATGCCTTTTTAGGATTTCCTAACCTATAATTAAAAAAATTGATTTCTTGCCGATATATATACAATTTCTATGATGCTTAAATATCACTAAAAATCAAAATCAAGAATATCGAAACTAACACTTCAACGTCTGTCCCCAAATCCTCCAAAAAGTCCAACTTTCTCTGTGAAAAACGCAGTTTATCTTCATCAGAAAGCTGATCACTGTCAAGAACTTCATTCAATGCTTCGATCACACTTCGCTCATTGAATAATGGCGCCGTATAGGCTAAATCAACTAAAGCCAAGTACAGCTGCGGATTGCTCTGCAAACGATATATGCATTTTTTACAACATAAATATCGAAAAGTTCAGAACAATAAATGGATAATAGCACGCTTATTTATAATCCCAACCATACTAAGAAATTCTTAAGTATAAATAGCATGCTGATAGGTATGATAATATCCTGATTGATCAACATTTTATCTTACCTTATCACGATTTATTGCATCTCTTATAATTTTTTCAGCAAGCCTACGATCATTTCGTGTTTTAGCATGAAATCTGGCTAGTTTCAAGGCATAAAAAGCAGATAGTTTACGTGGAGTACGTGAATCGTGTATGAGACGCTCAAAACGTGATATCACAGAAGAATAATCCGGAGAATCCCTGTAATTTCCCAAGTTTAAAGAAAAAAGATAGAAATACTCTGAAAATTTAAATAAATTAAAATTCAAAATTTAATGTATTATCGCAGATAACTAGCCTATCTCCTGCTTGCTTTGTCGCAAAGCGCCGCTCGATTCCAATTCGACGTAGTGCAATAACAGCATATCCTGGATAACGATGATCAAAATTTGCCAAAATCGAATTAGCTTTCTCAAAATCACCTATAAAACTTGCAATTATATAAGATGTTATCATCACCTTAATGACTGCAGGTTGGAAATAATGTGCAAAAAAATTACTTCTCATATTGCAAAACAATCTATTATCCTTCAGTTATTTGAATGAACCATGTCATAAATTTACTTTTATTTCAATTTCCACATTAAAGAGTATGCACATCACATGAATTAGAGAAAAGGTTTGATTAACAAAATTTGCAGTTACATTTAAAAAAAGTAGTTTTTAATGCAGAAATCCAGCAGGCGGCTCATGTACTATGTTTTAGCGGAACGTTAAATATCTTTCTGTTCCTCTTAACTTCTTAGCAAAATTTGATAATTTTGAAATGATGTAAACAAATAAACGAGCACTTCCCAAGACATTTAGAAATTTTGATATTTTGCAACACGAAGAAGTTTGCGTATTTCGCTCCTTAATCTCGATGATGTAGGGTCAATTTCAAAAATTATGTGGTATAATATCGTGCAGTGCAAGACCAATCTATTAACTACATTTCCATCAACACTAAACGAATAATACTCGGATGCAATTATTTTCCCAAACAAAGCAGTTCAAAAATTTGGTTAGAACAGAGAATTAATTTAGTCAGTTTCAAAGAGTCGTCTGGATAAATTAGGCACCGTTAAATACGCAATCAATTATTGTAAAATAGTTGAAATATCTCATTCCCCGAAAGAATACAGAAAATCTAGAGAAAGGACGTTAAATAATACATTTCGTCAGAATCTTTCGAATCTGTCAAAATTCTTTAGATTTGATTATTCAAAAAATAATTCAAATTCACTAACTTCCAAAGCTGACGGAATGACTTAAGATATGATGTCTGAATAATTCTGGAATATAACATTGAAATGAAATGGAACCCAATTACGCCCACGGAACGGTATTTTCATTTTGGAATGTTAAAAGAATGCTTCAGAATCAATAAATACAATAAAAAGAGAGCATTCAAAATCACGACATTCAATGATGAGGGACTTTAAATTTAATTGTAAATGGTTTATTGATGAAAGTACTGCTTTTTGAGACTTTTATGAATAATTTAAGAAGAGATCTGACTTCAATGAATGGAACTTTTTCCATCTTTTCTTATTTCGTAACGGAATAACTATCAATTATACTTCACTAACCATTAAAGAACTACGGTGTTACTGAGAACCAGTCACAATTTAAATTTTCGAAAAAATGATATTATTCAAAAATAACACCGAAATATCCAGAAATTTCAGGTCTCAAAATCTTCATGCTACAAGAACAAAACGTTAGCGCCGGCTGTTGTAAGGACTCATCCATATTCTAACATAATGACTACCAAAACTTTGGAAGGTAAAAGCAGGATATTCATAAGAAAATTATCAAGATTTCGAAGAATTGGATTTTCTGGTTCAGGCTTCATAAAGATGACCTTTTGTAAACTCTGACTTAAAAAAATCCGAATTCAGTAAAATTTTGTTCCACTTCATAAACACTCAGACAAATATATATCCATATTAACCAAGTTTACGCCACGCAGAACATATTACACATCGACACACACACACACACACACACACACACACACACA